AAAGGTCAGAGGTCAGAATTAAGCAATAACAGAAAACCTTAGAGTGTCCAGAGTCCTCACCTGTCACTCATGTCCACTGAACTGTCACTGGGCGGTTCAATAGTGAGGACAGGAAGGTGTCCCCCTCCCCCCGCGCCTCCTCCTCCTCTCCCTCTGTACTCCCCTCTGCACTCAGTGCAGGGGGTGCTGCTCCTCCGGCTGGCGTTGCTGCCTGCCTCCGTCTCTCTGCTGTCCTCCCTCCCCCCTGCGCCTCTCCCTCCCCCCCAGTAGTCCGTGTCGGAGCTGGAGGCGGGACGGGACAGTGGCGAGGACGGGAGGCAGCCTTCGTCCATGTAAAGGGTGACGTCACTGAAGGAGGTGGCGGTGCTGTCCTCGTGCATGGCGACGCCTCCTCTGCCTCCCTCCACCCGGCCAGGCACACGTCGGGATGCTGTATTGGTGCTGTGCCACCCACACTGCCTGTAATCCACGTCTTCATCTTCCTCCTCCTCTTCTTCTTCCTCATCTTCCTCATCCTCATCTCCCTCCTCATCCTCGTCCTCCTCTCCTTCTCCTCCGACGTCCTGTGAGTCTTCCCGGCCAGACTGGCAGGTGAGAGAGTCGTCCATGGAGTCAGCGAGAGATTTTACCTGCAGAGGACGAAGGAAAGAAACCATGAAAGACAATCTGGATGGATGGATGAGAGAAGGACTGAGGACAGAAGGACTGAGGACAGAAGGACTGAGGACAGAAGGACTGAGGACAGAAGGACTGAGGACAGAAGGACAATCAGATGTTTGGAGACGGGGTCTCTAAAGAGACCTGAGGAATAGTTGAAGCTGAAAATGGCTCCTATGTTTTTCTGTCAGGATGTTCTCGCACCCATGAAGACGGATTTATTGACCAAAGCATTTCTACCAGAGAGTTTACAGTTTTGCCGCCACAGTCGATCTAAAAAATAACCATTTAGCTAAAGAGGGGCTTTAGCTAAATCTTAAAGCCCCTCTCTGTGTTTACAGGTTCCCATAGAGCAGTGTTTTTCATTCCTGGTCCTGAAGGCGTCCTGCTCTGCATGTTTGTCGGAGGTTGTCGTTTCAATGAACGTTGGCTGGAAGATGAAAAATACAAATAATGGATTAAACGGGGACAAACCCCACGAGTTGCCTCTTGTAAAGTCTGCAAAAAAGATGTGCAGCTTTTCACAATGGGCAAGTCTGCACTGTCGAGTCACATGGAGGGTGAGTCATAGACTTTTAAGTAAGCCAACTGAAGTAGCCTAGTAAAAGTTAGCGCCTATTTGTTTACGCTAGTAACTGCTAGCTAGGAATTCACAGGCTATAAAAAAAACAAAAAAAACGAAGTTTTAATTCATTGCCAGACCCAGACCTTAAAACAGCATTGATAACTCTATGGCTGATAATACTGAATTGCGACACCCTCTGGTTGGTTATAGTACTGCGCCATGGCAGAGGAGTCATTTTCTTTGATCATTTGGCAGTCATCCGTGCAAAACTGGTTCCGGCCGACATCATTAAATAATAATTTTGACTTTGTATTGGTATGTAATTTACGGTGGTCTAAGGTGCTGGAAAAAGTTTTAAAAAGGATCTTGAAAGTGCTTGAAAAGTTCTTGATTTTGACTTTGGAAAAGGTGTACGAACCCTGTAACAGGTGAGACATCTAAAACATGCAGGGCAGGGTGCCTTGAGGACCAGGGTTGAAAAACACTGCCATAGAGTCTGACATTAAGATTCTTCCATCGTCAGACGTCTGGCATAGATGACTAACCGCTGACAGCTCAATGCTGCAGCAGGGACTGTTTTCAGAATGATGTTTTTGGCAAAGTTTCATTCCTAATCAAACTTGCTAAACAGGAAATGGTTCCAATAAGAGCTGCTGGTCCAAACCTGCATGAGGAAACAAGGATAACCAAGGAGGTGAGTTTATCCTACCGCCACATGCAGCCCAATGCTTTGGAAGGAGAAACATCTCTGGCATCTTGTGCTCAAAGTCTCGTTGGTCTGAAAGCTTTCTTATTGGAAACTCTTTCTCTATGCAGACGACATCTTGTTTCATTTATAAAACTGAACGGCTGCTCAACAAAAAAACAAAAAGTGCTTGCCTGTTTGGAGAAAGAGTCGTCCATGTCTCCAGCGTCCTCTGAGCCCTGCTGACCGGGTGAGCCCTGACCCTGCGGCTGCCGCTCATCAAACGAATACTGCGCTCAGAGGAAACAGCAGATCAGAACGCTGGTACTCTGGACTGACCGCGGTAGACCTGCCGCCGCGCAGAAACCTCCTACCTGCAGTCTCATGTTGGACAGGATGATGCGGCGGGTCATCCTGCTCTCTGAGGCCGAGCTGCGGAGCCTCTCAAACTTCTTGTTCATGCGGTATCGTCTGAACGCCGTCTGGATCGTCCTCGCTGCCCGCCGGGACACAAACTGGCCGCCATACTTCCTTTCCAACATCTCCACCTATCAGGGGACACAGTCAGGAGTCCTGGACCAGAAAGTTCTTGTTTGTTTTCTGCTGATCCTGTAATGCTGGGCCGTACCTTCTTGTCCTGGAGGTCTGTAGAGAGCTCATAGCTGTCAGATAGCGCCTTGCAGCGTTTGCTCTCCTCCTCCTCTTGCTTGCGGAGCGCCAGGCTGGCCGGCTGATGTCTGCTGCGCTGAGCCCAGGCAAGGCTAGCTGGGCTGGGGGGGGGTATCGGCGAGCTGCCCTGAAGGGGAAGAGAGAGGAGGAAGTATACATACACTGTAGGCACCAGATCAGCTCGGGGCCCCGCCCCTTCCTGTGATGACAACATGTGGCAACGCCACTCAGACAAACTGTATTGCACCCGTTCCTTAAAGGATCAAATCTCTTTTGGAGTCTCAACATATTATTGCCTATATTTGCTATTATTTTAAATTTCATTGGCGATCTAAAGGAGCTGAAAGTAGAAAACAATCTTCCTCCCGCCTCAGTGAGACTGTCTGCAGATATTTTTGATTTATGCCCAATATTGAAGCGCGGTCTGCGCTGTTATTCCACGCCACAACGCCAGAGGGCCAATCAGGAACTAGCTGTGGGTCTAGATACGGCCGATGAGGAAGGGGGGGCAAGTTTGGAGGGACATGAGGGCCAAAAAGAGCGAGGATCCAGGTGGGAAAAGGCTCCCAGCGTTCTCGCGCACCTCGCTATGCTAGCTGCTCGATCTTCACCAGGCGTTTTCCACCATGGCGGCCAGACAAACAGAACAAGGGGGTAAGGAACCAACCAGGAAATAACCATAGAGTAGAGGGGATGGAGATCTGACCAATCAGAGGCCTCCTGTCTACGTTCACCTACAATTTCAGAGAGGTGCAGCAGAGTGTCTGTGGAAGGGGGCGGGGCATATCTGACCAGCATGCCTGAATCTGTAAACATCCTGCAGGAGCTCAGATTTCAGTTTGCAGGAGGCCAGCAGACTCCTGAAGAACTCAGCTGTGAGATTTTCTAGCTGACCTTCTAATGGAGCTCTGATACCAGCAGGACTCCTGGTTGTGTGGATTTAATATTTTAAAGCACAAATTAAACCTCATAGAGGGTTAGCCTCCTTTCACGGGATACGGTTCCAAAAAGGGAAACCTGCCACCTACTGGTGGCGCTGTGGCACACAGAAACGATCTAAAACAAGAGCTGGCAGAAGAATCGCATGCAGGTTACAGAGACATGGAGACGGAAACATGGAAGGTAGAGACGGTCTGAGCTGAGCCTTTAAGCTGGGCTCAGTGGACCGGGTCTCTGTGGACCGGGCCTTTGTGGACCGGGTCTCTGTGGACCGGGTCTCTGTGGACCGGGACTTTGTGGACCGGGACTTTGTGGACCGGGTCTCTGTGGACTGGGACTTTGTGGACCGGGTCTCTGTGGACCGGGTCTCTGTGGACCGGGTCTCTGTGGACCGGGTCTCTGTGGACCGGCCTGACCCGTTCAGACGGGGTTTATTTGTCTAGATCCAGGTTGTGTCCTGGTTCTGTGTGACTGAGTACCTGTGTCTGCGGATAAGAGGCTCCCAGGGGCCCGCTGGAGGTGGGGCCGTAGGGGTCACAGGGGCTGCAGAGCGGACTGTTGCTATAGCGATGGAAGGGAGCAGGATGTCCAAAGGACGAGTCTGAGAAGGTGAGGACCTCTGGACACTGAGGGTCTCCCTCCACGCTGTGAGAGAGAAAGACAGAGAGACAGAGAGGACATTAGTTCATCCTGTTTGGACCAAAGAACGGGTCACTAGAACCAGTCTGGACCGGATCAGAACCGATCCACACCGCAGAGAAACTGACCAATCAGATCACACCTACCAGAACAAGAAGGAGCGACCTAAAAGAAACCATCCATCATCCATCCATCATCCATCCATCCATCATCCATCCATCATCCATCCATCCATCCATCCATCATCCATCCATCATCCATCCATCCTCCATCCATCCATCCATCC